TTTGACAAAAAGAACTATCGGAAACGTACGTAAAGGACTGGCAGAAATTTCTAACCATCTGACTTAAGTCAAGTCTACGAAAAAATTTTCATTGTGATCATCATACGAAGTGGTACACCACATATTACTATATAAATGATGAAATTTGTGTGTTAAAACATTAACAATTAAAAAGGTAAAATTTTTTACTACTTATATTAAAACACATGATGTACCATCCGAGTTTCCATCACAATAAAAAAATTTCCCCAAGTCTACCTGTATAACATGACACCTTAACCACTCTTACATTTTCCCTTAATTGCCCTTTTTGACTTTTGGCCGTAAGCGATCTAAAGTAACTTTTGGTACATTTCGCATGGAAAGGAATCCTTTTCGGATCCATTTTGTAGGAAGCCTAGAGATCTCATATTATAATCATTCATCGTATATCGTACGGTTAATTTTCATTGAATATTATTTATGTTTAATTGTAAATAAAAAAAATCAAATAATTTCTAATTGCACGATACACGATAAATGATTAAGAGTGAGAATCCTAAGATCCGGATGGGATCCAATTCCATTTCTCATAATGTGAAATTGTGAAGGTGGAACGAAAAGGTCAACTTTAAGCCATAATGATTCTTTATCAAAGACGCAGACAGCATAATCAAACGTAAACAGGAGCAAACTTTGGGTCGTAAATACGTGATGACCAAAGATATTAGCCAGAGATTGTACCGTAAGAATATGTTTGTTGTATTAAATTATTTTTGACTTGACTAGTTTATTAAACGAGGCTGGCTTAACTTGAAATGAGCAGAATAAAAATAATAAAACGTTTGATGCTGAAATAAAACTTTCTTGACATAAACTAAAGCAAATAAAACCCCGGTAAACCGGACAAAATCATGTGTAATTAATGAGGATGTATTGAGAAAACTTACCACAAGGACACCATGCTGAATTAAGACCGGTGGCTTCTTAATCCCGCCGCGGCCGCCGCCGCTGCCATTCCCACGACCTTCCGGAATCCTTTGCAGACTCAGTATGTAGCCATCTTGAGTTGTCACCTGAACAAAAATGCAGCCATTTTATTTAACTAAAGTTAAGTCACTAATTATCTGCAATATTGGCTTAATTAATTCGTTCAAGTCTTACTTTAAACTCCTGGCATGGGTAGCCGTACACAACCACCGACGACGCGCATATACCAACGGTCGGGGCGGCCGCAGCATCTTGTTTGCGGCCAAATAGTGAATCCCAAGCGGAGCCGTACGCTCGATGAGGTGACAGTGCAAGTGCTGAAAGCAATATTGGGAGGCAAAAGCTCGCCCAGACTGCTGCCATAATTCAAATAAAACAGCTTTCGTTTAACCTGGTTGCCTGCTTTCAGGGCATTATATAGCTGAAGAAAAAGGGACGCAGAACCGAGTGGGAAAACGAGTGAGATATTTTGTTGGCGTGAAGTGAGGGGCTTTTCACGATCTTTTCAGTGATGTGGCATTGTGGATCCCTTCTGGACCTGACTTTTTCGGAAAATAGATCATCTCCCCGAATCTCTCTCCAAAACCTATAGATCAAGTGATTCAGACCTTTGAAATTTAATTTAACGGTAAAATATTATTATAATTTTTAAAAAATTTTACTAATTTCTCTGTTTTTAGCCATTGAATTAAATTTCAAAAGCTCAGATAACTTGATTCTTGAGCTTTAGAGATAGCATTTGAGATTAGCCACCCCTGCAAGCAAATAAAGAATTTTTAGCTGGAATGTTGCAGTTGCTATTTCAAGACCTGAGAGCTCTGAACTGGAGATTAGGATGGATGATTTTTTTTCTTGGGAACTTTAGCGAAAAGATCTTGATATTGTTCATTTTAACGAAAAATCACATTTTTACACTAAAAAATCAATCCTGATACTATTTATTTTGCCATTATCGTTAAAACTCAAAGTTTTCAAGTTATTTTCATTAGTTTCCTTTTTTTTTTCTTTGGGAAACAGAGTATGTGGGCTCCACTTTACGACCATGTGAGTACCTAACTAGACCCATCCAAAACTGCAAATTTTAAGACTAAAGGAAAGTCTTTGGTGGGACAACTTGGTCACGTCATCTGTATCGTCGTTTTCTTAAGTCGTAAAATGCAAGATGAAATAGAGTTGCATGAAACTATAGAGTTAAGTAAAGCTGACGTACATATGACATAATTAGGCTGCTCTACTTATAATTTTCTCCAACATAAATGGATAAAAGAGGTAATACTGATTATACTTACCTTCACAATTTCACAATATGTCGGTTGATCATGTTAGGGAAGTCTAAGAATTACATTTATGTTTCTCGGTCTTTTGGTTAAAATCAAGTGAAGTCTAATAACTACATCATATATAACCGCCATATCTCAAAAGTATAGGACAAACGTTAGATCAAATGGAGTTATTATTCTATTTGTATAAAAAATCTCTCACCATGTAAATAGTCTTATTTATTTGTGAGAGTTGTCATACGAGGCCAGCCTATCCTATTAAAATTTTCCCAAGACGAAGCCGACACTGCAAGCAATTGTCCGGAAGATTAATTTGTCTGTAATCTCAAGGAGGTCCAATCAAATCGTGCGTCTTGAAACATGATAAGTACCAACGTATTGTCTAATTTATACATTTGAGTTGTCGTTATGCAACTCAAACCAAAGTTTTCATCGTGGAATTCATGTGAGTGCATGTGGCTTGGGCAACTTTAGAATCGACTGCAATCCAAGAACAAGTACGAGTTCGCATTGGAGTTGACCAACTTAGGTTAATTAGGTTATCGTATGTCAAAGAAATGGGAGATTCCCCGAAGCACCAAGCTGTTTGTTGCTGTCTAGGTTGTGTAACATTTTATATGTTTTCAGCACATTCCATGGGGTAAGGCTGTTGGCTATACATTCTCTATACTATATCTTATTAGCATGGATTTCTTTAAAAAAAAAAAAAAATAGAACAAGATAATTTGATCACAATAATTGCAATCAAATATTATCTTCGTTCTATTTTTTTTTTTTAACTAGATAACTTTTATTAATTAAAAAAATTAGTATAAGATTAACTCAAAAACAATTTGAATACAAGCATAGCTAAAAAAAAATAAGAGTAAACCCACAACAATAAAACACTAGATTTAGAAGACTATTGCCTCCATGCTCTATCACATCAGATGTGCCACCATTCCAAGTCCGCCACCACCACCAAAAAGAAGAACCCATGAACAAACTAGATTAATAAAATGAGGGTGAGCAATCCACCAATGCAAAAGTGTTGCCATAATTCTACCAAATAAAACTAATAGCATTTAACAACCACCCAACACCAAAGTACGCAACCGAAGAGAGACACCTGATGGACCATGTAGCAGAGGTTGGTGGTGGAGACTGCCAACGGGAAGAAACATCTAAGGAAGAGAGAGGCATAAAAGTTAGATTTGAGACAAACTCAGGAAGGTGGAGACAAAAGCTCAGAGAATACTAGAAATTAAGGGCCAAAATGAAATAGAAATGCAGGGAGGCAAAGGAGATGAGAAAGAAGTAGCTGGGTTTGGCAAGTAAGAGGAGTTGCCACCGACCCCACTCAAAAGTAGGAGTCCGCGACAAGGGGGTGTTAGGTTTTTTTATTTTTTTATTTTTTTTTGCTTTGGGCAAGAGAGAGAGAGAGTAGCACCCAACTTGACTGCGGACTAATATCTCAAGCTCAAATATTATCTTGTTTAACTCACAATTATGTCGTTTGTGAACTCATTTTTATTGTTGAGGATCTAGTAGTTGCTAATGAATATAAATCTCACATGCATCTTAATAACAAATTTTGATACTAGTAGCTACCCCATAGATCCCACATCTTTGTGAGTGAGTTGCTGCATGAGGCAGTCTAATCCAAGACTTTCTCTTTAATTGAAAATAGTAACTTACATTGCCCAATAAGACGTCAAGTGATAATAACAGTATATTCGTGTAACGTGTCATATAAATATTTTTCATCGTTGAATGTACCATGTTGAGCAGTGAGCATTCCAACACCCCACCCTCGATGAGCCCATGCCTCATTGCCTCAGCAAAACTCCAACAGCAACACAAACCTATCATCTGAAAAAAAGAATTGAATGCACCATGTTGAGCAGTGAGCATTCCAACACCCCACCCTCGATGAGCCCATGCCTCATTGCCTCAGCAAAACTCCAACAGCAACACAAACCTATTATCTGAAAAAAGAATTGAATAATTGCAAACAGTTGCGAATTATGAGCAAAAAGGAATGAGCTAGTGCCTTCATCATTGTGGAGTGTTGGCTTTTTTTGGTACACAATTCTTGCTTTCACATTGACAATATTGGTGAAGAAGAATCAACGCCGGTAATTAAACCACTTTCTTCAGGTTCCACTTTCTTTTTGTCGAGTGGCAAAAATATCTTCAAGACTCCTACCAAGGAATCAGAATATAACTTTTCACACTGGCTTGAAAAAGGATTCCTTCCCATCTCCTCCGCTAACAAAAAAACTTGTCTATCACACGTTCACGTAATCCATCTCTCGATCTTAATTGATATTTACGAAAATAAAAGGATTACATAAAATATAATTGGTTCGTGTAAGTTTTTCTCGTTCATCGCATCTAGAAAAGCTTTGTCTATCACATGTTCATGTAATCTTTTTCTCAATTTCCCTCACCACTTGACATCTACGAGCGAAAGGGCTTGCATGTAATGAAGTTGCTCCGTGTAAGTTTTTCTTGTTTGTTGCATCTAGAAAAATGAAATGAACCAAAACAGATACCGGAAGGCTTAACGAAACAATTCAACCTAAAATGTACTCAGTCCAGAATGAGTACTCAGTCATCTCCCTTGATTTTCAAGTAAAGCCCCAAGGCCCGAAATTAAACGTTTGGAAAAATCGTCCTTATGTACGCTTCTCTGGCTAGTTTACTACAGGAAAGTGATTTTCGAAAACCTTAATTATTTTTTTATTGTAGATAAAATTCAAAATAAAATGAACGGACAAAATAAACGTGGCTTTCTCTTTCTCTTTAATTAAATATGCAGTAACAACCTTCCTGCTAAGATTTCAGTGGTGTTGTTAAATACTCACAGCATAGGACATTTTCATCCTTACTCTTTACATGCCCTCCATCCTCAAAATTCTTAATTTCAACAGCAGCAGCAAGGATCTCTAGTACTTTACAAGATATTGAGGTTCGTAGTTTAGCAACTCGAGCGGGTTCTTAACTTCTCAAATTTACACTATTACGATTTCAGGAAAAAGTATCAAGCTTTATAACCTACAGCAATGGTAAGGCTCGTCTTCTTCTTCTGACTCGAGCTGCGGCAAGAAACTAAGCTCGGAAGGCAGCACTGCGAGGTCCTAAATGGCTTCTTCGTCTCAATCTCAGTTAGAACGTCTCCACTTATTGTCCTCTCGCTACTACACACGGAATCCGTTCCTTTGACAAACTTTGGAGGGAGCTTGACTGCAGTTGGCGGTTTTACTTCATTGTCCGCGTCTTCATCATCTTTGAAGCTCTCCTGAAAAAAAAGTTCATGTAGTTTCTTCTTCTTTTCTGTTGGTGTTGGAGTTGGACCAGGAATGGAAACAGGAATTCTGTTCTCGAAAGGAGTTTTGTCGATTAGAGAGGAACCAGCGGGTAAGTTCTGATGGACAGGAGTGTTGCCGCGAGATGGAGTAAAATCTGCACGGGAGGCCATCAAAGTCGCAAAAAGTTCAAAACGAAAGCGAACAACAATCCTGCATTTTATGTTTCTTGTGGCACAAGCAAAACCAACAATCCATTTTCTCATGAACTTTTACTTTCAGCTCATCGAAGCGAAAAAACGTAAAGAAAATCGTAATGTTGCAAGAAAAAATGGCTCGAAGCATTCGACTAAATTCTTACCCCCATTCACACTGTAAAAATCATCTTCACAATCCGAGTCCAACCACGGCCGGGTATCAAAATAGGAATCCTCTCTACTACCTGCTCAAGAACAAAGGGAACTTCAAAATTCTAGGCTGAAACAAAATTAGGGTACTGCTATAGCCATTTAATAAAAACTTCCAAATGCTTTGCCTAAAACATCCATCTGACCAACACCAGCAAACAAATAGAAAACCAAACACAAGTTAATTAGATACAACTAAGTTGGAACAGAAGCAATTAGGTACACCATGTGACGTTCACGACTTTTAGGAACAACATGAGTCGATTCAAAACCATGGATGACTCAATGAGATACGAAAGACGCAAAGTTACACCATCTCAATGCACTAGCGACGTCTAGGTATTAAACAATTCAAACTCATCACAAATATACATCATCTTCATTTCCGCATGAGTCAAATTAGAGATATGCTCCAACCAAGTAGAGTCAACTACCATCAGGGAAGTGATCCGCATACCCATTTACATCGTCGACACACCATTATTATTTACCCCCTTTAAATTAAATAAATGAAGGAAGAAACAAGGGTCGCCAATAAACATGAGCATGTAGTAAAAAGGAGAAGTGTGCGGACATTTCACCTACCACTATACCAGACGCTAGTTGGTCTCTAAACACTACACATTCCCACACACGGTCCATCCATCGCTTAGAGATTCACAAGATACTTCACGCTAAAACTGGTCCTAGTCAATAATTTCATCGATATTCATCCCTTTGAAATGAAGGGAATGCAGAGGGACCACAATCTCAATAAGTTATCTATCATTTCTTCAAAAGAGAAATTTTAAGGACCATGTCTAGACTTTTCATGGATTGTCTGCTATTCACAGTTTAATTTTAATTTTTGTGCTAACATTAAAAAAATATTATGTAAAAAACATGAGGTGACAAAGAATCCACAGAAAGTTCCACTTTTAAGAGAATCCGCTTAGCGTTTCTCTAAAAACAACCTAACCCTAGTTGTAGCAACAAACGCACACCTACTGAACGTCTCATTGGAAGACATTGACTTCTACCAATCTCTTGTGTAATCTGGGCAAACCAATGGTCCTAAAAGAAACACAAGGGCATGATCGAAAATTTTAGGCACACTTCTAGTCGAATTTGTAAAAATACGTGACGGATTAAAAAGCTCTCTCATTTATTCTGGCATCCGAATTCGTGACGGATTAAATTGTGACATTCCTCAAAAATAGAAATCTTTAAAGAAATCACATCACCAATTAAATCCACATCCACCTACAGGAATGTAAGGGCTATTGCCTTCCCTTCTTGAAAGCAATAGCATCATACTTAAAAAGGCAACTAAATAGACGGTGTCATAAACGTGAAAGCAATTTCTAACAGCTTCTACAAGTAACGAGGAGAAACCCAGATTTACACTGAATTAAACGCAAAAAAGTTAAATAAAAAGTAGTTAACCACAAAATGGATAAGCTAAAAGTAAAATGATTTTCGAATATCCTTTTTCTAGTTGCACGCATCTCTGATTATTTCTGTCATTTGATTCTCATGTATACGCAGAGACAGTGCGTGCGAAAATCACTTAGCACTCAATCCATAAACCTTTAATACATCTTAGAATCCAAAAGATCAAAAACCAAGCATAAGCACATGTTTTGATATTTTCAAAAAGTTTTACCTAAGTTAGCGTGAAAATATGAGAAATACAAACGGCACATTTGATTAGTTTGACCAGAGAAGACCAAAAAACGAAGTCTTTTTGTAAAAAGTGTGGTTTTTTACCGCAATCCCGGAAGGTGGTGGCGGTGGCGAGAGAGGGCGACCATTGAGATTTAAGAGGAAGATCGGCGATCGGACGGTCACCATTGGAAGAGAGTTTATCATCCTTGACTGGGAATGGTGGGATGACGAGCTTGTTGTCGGTTTTGGACCCGAATGAAAGTCGGAGCTTCAAGACGGAATCTGCGTCCTTATGAACCGAAACACATGAACCCATCTGCCTATATATATATGTATAAATATGTATCTCTGTTTCTATATATTTCTCTAGAAACCCAATAATTTTCTCAGTGCCACTCCCAACACCACGCTTTTTTGGAGAGAGAGTAAAGTATAAGGAGGAGGAAGAGGAATAGGAAGAGGCAGAGGAGAGAGGGCGTTTTTTGGCGTTATGCTTGGGACTACTGGGTGCCCAAATGCCTTTCTGGCGCACATAGAGATGAGAGAGAGGAAGGAATTGAAAGGTAACGCTACGAGATGGTGTTAGTTTTCTACTGTTTGTGTGGAAAAGTGGGTTTATAGGGTTTGGTTATGGTGTTAGTTTTCTACTGTTGAGCTTTTCCTCTCTTTTCTATTGGGGGAAATTTGTGGCGCCTGCTGATTCTCTAAAACTCAAAGCTGACCGGTGAGTCTCTGAACTTCTTGCTCTGGGGTTGAAAACTTTTTTAATATCGAAAAACTTACCTGTAACTGAGACGCCATTGTAGTTAACTTAAAATCCATCGCACTGTCATTTGATTAATTTACTAATATGAGAGTGCTTGGTTATGGTATGTGATAGTGCTAATTTTTCAGAAAATTGTATATACTGTGATGAAAATCGCTGTTACATCGGTTTTTTAGAAATAAAGATGAAATGTTGAAAGTGATTAAATTATTTTTTATTTAAAATCCTGAACAGAAATTTGAGGGCATAAAATCACTATTAAGTCCTTGAATCGTGCTTTAATTTTTCTTACCTTGTGTCACTCTTCTTTCTTTTTATTACAAAGTCAATGTTCTTATAAAATTGTTGATTGAAAAAGGACTTTAATTTGCCATGCTAAAAATGAAGCTTAATAAGGCAGGCCACCGGTCAAAACCTGACTTCAACTACGAGCATGAAAATGCACAATTAAATGTGATTACTACAATAATCACGTTCAAATTAATTATTGTATGTGCAAATACAAATAAATATACATGCATACCAAACTCATCTCAAGGCCAGGATAGTAAAAACACTGTCAATCGAATTCACATTACTTGTACACATTTTTCTTAATTTTCAATCTGTAACATCCCACATCGTCCAGGGGAGTGATCCTTATATGTATATTTTCATCCCTACCTAGCACGAGGCCTTTTGGGAGTTCACTGGCTTCGGGTTCCGTAGGAACTCCGAAGTTAAGCGAGAAGGAGGCTAGAGCAATCCCATGATGGGTGACCCACTGGGAAGTTGCTCGTGAGTTCCCAAAAACAAAACCGTGAGGGAATGGTAAGCCCAAAGCAGACAATATCGTGCTACGGTGGTGGAACGGGTCCGGGAAGTGGTCCCCCTCGGGTCGGGATGTGACAATTTGGTATCAGAGCCTAACCCTGGTCGCGTGTGTGCCGACGAGGACGTCGGACCCCTAAGGGGGGTGGATTGTAACATCTCACATCGCCCAGGGGAGTGATCCTTATATGTATATTCTCATCCCTACCTAGCACGAGGCCTTTTGGGAGCTCACTGGCTTCGGGTTCCGTAGGAACTCCGAAGTTAAGCGAGAAGGGGGCTAGAGCAATCCCATGATGGGTGACCCACTGGGAAGTTGCTCGTGAGTTCCCAAAAATAAAACTGTGAGGAAACGGTAAGCCCAAAGCGGACAATATCGTGCTACGGTGGTGGAGCGGACCCGGGAAGTGATCCCCCTCGGGTCGGAATGTGTCACAATCGATAAATTATTAAATTAAAAAATTAAAAAACAAAAATTAACAGGGTATATAAAAAGTTAAAAAAAAACAAGCGTAAATAGCATCACGTAATAAAAAATTAAAATCGTGCTGATTGTAGAGAGTGCCGTGCTTTTGACAAGACGGAACGTAGCCACTAAACCCTAGTTTGAAACTAGTAGTTTAGGGAACTGGATCCTCTCCGGATTGAAAAGAATTGAGCCAAGGATCAAATAATCTGAACTATTGAAATATGATCCAACGATTACAATTATTATAATTTTTAGAAGAATCCTCTTTTTGTAATCATTAGATCAAATTTTAATAATCCGAATTATTTGATCATTAAACTCAGTTCCTTTAAATCCGAAGAAGATCCGGTTTGTAGTTTAGTAAGATCAGCAGGACACCTCTCCTCTCTGTGTTTCGTTTGAGTTTGATTGACAGCAGACAAGAAAATTACTATAATTTGCTTTATTAATGAATTCACTTGATATTCTTTTTAGCCGACGTCTTGCCCTTTCAATTTTGTATTATCTCACCACTAATCTAATAAATCTAATATAATCTAATATTGCATGATGAGATTACAAAAGACAAATTGAAAGAGGTGTGTGGCTAAGAACATCAGTTGGGTAAAGTTTGAAAACGATAAAATTCAATTCACCCAACGCCAAGGGCCAAGGCTGCTACAAAATTGACCATAACCTAATTAACTTCTAAGAGTGACCCACCACTAATAGCACAATATTGTCACACACTTGTATGTACCACATACTAGTATTACTAGTATTGTATGTGTGAGACTTTATCATACAAGGTTTCTATACGATATATATTAGTTGTGAAACTATTATGTGTCATGTTATTGTTTTCGATGTTAAATATTTTACATATTTATAACAATGTTTCAAAACTCACGTTCAAAATCTGCTGTTAGTGTGAAAGCCAAACTTGTAGTCAGAAGGAGCCTCCACCTATATACTAGATTTTTGTTAACCTAAGCTCAAATGAAGATAAGGATCTAGGGTCCTACACCTAAGAAAAGTATAGAAACGTGGGTGTAACTTCTGCCACAAATCACCAACAAGTCTTTCGTCTTGTAACAGAAACAAAGTTCATTTGCTTTTCCTTTTAATGCGACAAGTTCCTTTCAGTTTGCCCTGCGTAGAAGTTTAGTACTGTTTCCGTTTCGATTGTTCTCCTTCTTTTGTGTTTATTTACCATTTTTTGTCTTTTTTTTTTTTTTCTTTTTTAACACATTGACGACGTCTCTTATTTTTCCAGTATGTCAAGAACTTGATCCGATACATAAAATTTAATATTACAATTGGTTGAAATTTTGAAAATTTTTTTTTAACCAATTGAATAATGACATTTAGTGTATTAGGCCGTGTTCCTTGACACTGAAAATTTCTCTTCATGCACGAGAGGCAATAGTTGGTAAATTGTAGCAGGCATGCAACACTGAACCTCAAGTTTCATCTGCTTGATTCCGGATGGGAATGTGTAGTACAAGTCCAGCAAGATCAATCGCACCTCATCACTCAAACAAAAGAAAAATGCTTAGATTCTAAGTTATACATGTGTGCACGTAAAAGCACAACACACTCATGCACGAATAAAAAAATCATGCAAAATGGTAGTAGTTGTGTTCCAAGAATCCTTTGCACGGGTATTAGGTAGGGTTAGGTTTCCATAATATTAGAGGGAAGATGCGTGAAAAATGCAGGCTACGTATTCTGGAGAAAGTTTATAAAATTGACAACTGCACCACGTGTTTGCTCGACAAAATGCAGTGGAGTTAGACTGCAAGGGGCAGGTCTGAGTGAAAACGCTTTAACATGAGTTAAAACACTTTTGTTTAAAAGTGTTTGAATTTTAAAAGTATTTGAAGTGATTTTTAGAAGAAATATCAATTATGTGCTTCTTGCAGAAAATACTTTAAATATTTTTTTCGAAATTCACTTGTATTTTAGCTAAGAATTGGCTTTAAAAACACTTTCATCAAAAACAGTTTCAATTATTTTAAAAATACTTTCAAACGAGTTTCAAAATTCACTTGAATTTTTTATTAAGATTGGTTTAAAAACATTTTCAATCATTTTAAAAACACTTTCAAACTAGTTTCAAAATCACTTACATTTTACTAAAATTAATTTTAAAAACTTTTTGAACAAAAAAAAATACTTCCAAACTACACATAAGTAGAGCCGCGCTGAATGTTATAGCACTTCTAGTGTAGGAAGGCCTCCCACCCTCAATGGCAATTGGCAATTGAATCCCCTCCACTGAATAGTAACTGCCTTTAATGAACAGTAATTACATTTTACATCTCCACTGTGACATTCCACATCGCCCAGGGGAGTGATCCTTATATGTATATTCCCATCCCTACCTAGCACGAGGCCTTTTGGGAACTCACTGGCTTCGGGTTCCATGGGAACTCCGAAGTTAAGCGAGTAGCGTGCGAGAGCACTCCCAGGATGGGTGACCCATCGGGAAGTTCTCGTGTGAGTTCCCAGAAACAAAACCGTGAGGGCGTGGTCCCATGATGGGTGACCCACTGGGAAGTTCTCGTGTGAGTTCCCAGAAACAAAACCGTGAGGGTGTAGTCAGGGCCCAAAGCGGACAATATCTCGTGTGAGTTCTCAGAAACAAAACCGTGAGGGCGTGGTCCCATGATGGGTGACCCACTGGGAAGTTCTCGTGTGAGTTCCTAGAAACAAAACCGTGAGGGCGTAGTCGGGGCCCAAAGCGGACAATATCGTGCTACGGTGGTAGAGCGGGCCCGGGATGTGGTGGACCCCCGGCGGGGATGTGACATCTACCTCTAAACTGAATAGCTATGACAATAGGCAATAAAATATTAGTATTTTTTATGTTCTAAAATAATAAAAAATATTTTTTTTAAATTTCGGATAAGATTTTTAACCTATCTCTTCACGTCCATGTGTCATTATCCGAAAGTACAATTTTTGTGGATAAATTTTCATAAGATTTTTAACCAATTCTGTCGCGCGACATGTCCTTCCATGTTTAGAATTGTTGAAAATATTGAAATGTGGTGTAGGTGGGAGAAAATTGTAAGGTATTTATCGAACAAAAATTATAATTTTTTAAAATTTGTTTGAAATTTTTTCGGATTTTTAATTTTTTTTATTAACTTAATTAAGCTAAACTGTCGGATTACAAAAAAAATTGAAATCCAATAGTCCAGATTGTGATACGTGTCCCCCCGGAAACATTTCTGTTTTTTTTTTTTTAATGTTTAAAATTGGAAAATTTTGGACCGTTGATCTGGAAATCAAACGGTCCAGATTCGACTGTTACTTAAAGGGCTGCAACACGGGTCCCACCGCTTGAAATCTTATCAATAACGCGAGTCTGACGTAAATTTTTTTATAACGAAGCTGACGTCAACCTTGCATCACTCCCCCTCAAACACTCAAGCTTTGGACTCTCGCCTGCCCTGTCCCACGGGCTTCCCTTAAGCCCAATTACCCGAATGGACTAAAGCTAATTTGGAAGGGGATTGGATTGCAAATGGGGGCCGTCCACAGGTCAAGAGCATGGTGGAAGTGCTCTTAACGACTGGTCGCGCTCCCACCAACCCCAGCAGCTATTTTTCTTTA